GTTTCCTTGTGCTATCTATTTGTTGCAGATGTGCTGATCTTCAGAAGCTTGGGGAACTGAGTGCTGCTGAAAATAGGCATGGCTCAGCATGTGCTGGTATTATGCTGACTACTGCACTATGTTGCTCTCTTACACGTGCATGCATCCGCCCACGTACGCATTCGTTTCGTATAATTATTTGTTATCCTCTTGACTTTACGTATAAATGGGTGGACGTTTGCTTGGCTGCTGGAGTTGCGTGTGTATTGTGTCTCTACTCTTTTCTTTGTGTTCTTTTGGCGTTGTATAAGTTTGTGTGTGTGTGTGCACGCGCTCGAAATATTTTGAAAACAAATAATTCATCCTTGGCTCTCCATTATTCTCTTTCGATTCTTGGTTTTTTCCTAGGTATTTTCTTAGCGTTGTGTGGGTGTGTGCATGTGTGTGTGCGTGCACAATAATTTGGCAACACTACATGATTGAGATTATTGTAATTTGCAGCGTCTGCGAAGAGACCACTAGATTCGAGGTTGGTGTTTGTAGGGTTTTTCATGTAATGAAGTGGCTGCAGTGGCGCCTCAATACTTATTTTTTATCTTGAGAAGTGAATGATGTATTAAAGGGAGAGGCCGTTTTTCTGCTTAATACTCACTGCTTACAGCAGATCTTATGTAAAATTTCGAACTCTGGATAGGGGATGCCTAATTGGCTGGACTTTATACAGGGAGTATTGTCCACATAAAGACTCTTCATAGTTAATTTCAAAGTTTGGACTCCGTTCAGTTGATTTTGGACCAATGGACACTATATAGCGGTGAAGCCAATTGGCTGGACTCTATACACGGGGTGATGTCCATCTTAACTTTGAGCTCACAGTTGATTCCAAGTTTGGACTCTGTACAGTGGATTTTGGATCGATGGGCTCTATATACGGGTTGGACATCATTTAGGGGCTGGAAGCTCTACTGAGTCCAACATATAGGTTATTATAGTTTAGGTTTTCAGAGATGGCTATCACTAGCGGCATTTACGATGTTCACAACACATTAGGATTCACCCAGACAATATTTTTGGCTATACGCAACTGAAGTACAATGTACACGTAACGGCAATTGCGTTGAATGAACTCAATTACTGGCAAAGCTTCAACTACTTGCGAAGAAATTTCGTATAACCACGGAGTTACAATAAAAAGGAAAGTGTCTAAGTCATTTGGCACATGAGGAACTGATTTTTGGGAATATGTGCTTTTGGCATAATCGGATTACCCGACCGGCACGATGAATTACACACAGGGACAAGTACAAACATGGACTGACTACTTCAAAGTATGAGCATCATTTTTTCACCAAGCTGACACATATGCTGCTAGACATGGTTGCAAGATTAGGCTAGTAACGACTGCATTTTAGACTCTTTCAAAGAGGTGTACCCTTCTCTTCTCCTTGGCTGCCACTTAGCAACCAGATGCCATGACTATCTACACGCTTATTGACCAATGCAGGAATGAGCGTTTTCTGACCGTGCATGAACACATCTATTCATTTATGTAACAGCCTTGCAAGGGTACATCTCCTGGAATAGTCTTTGTTGAGTAGATCCACCACATTCGATCGCCACGGTCAAGGACATATCTCGTCTTTTGCTAGAAAAGGACGATGTGGGCTTCCTACTTTCCCCGTGTAAAACATGTTATGGCTCTAGGTGGTCTACACTAGGGGGACAATTGTTAAGTCTTTCTGCTTCTACCGTCTGCGTCTACTGTCTTTGCATCCTACAATGTATTCTTGAAACACAAAACGCAATCCGCGATTATTGGCAATGAAGTTAGCTGGTAGTTCACCTCGATTTACCACAGTGGTTCATACTGCAACTCTTTCTTCTCCAACAGTCTATATATCCTATATAGACCTCTTAACCGGTCTATAATCTATACATATTCTGATTAGCCATATTTCGGTAATTCCAAAAGTTTGACTCGCGCGGTGTGAAATGACACTGTTGGCTGTTCTAGGGTTAAAAATCTTCCCTATAAAGACAAGTCTGACATGTGGGCCAGCGCATGCAATACCATGTCCAAGGGCAAATTTTTCGAATTTTTTTCTTTCTTGAAAATCAATCACAGGGGTCTAGAGAACATCTCTGTGGAAGATAAAGTTGGATATCACATTTGAAAGTACATAGAGACCATGATTTCTATGGCATTGTCCAACATGGAATATGCCTAGTATAATGCATTATCTACAGTGTCGCTGGAAGCAGCAACAGTTTTGCGTATCAGCCTTTATTATTGGCCAAGACGTTCAACGAAGGCTGCCTTGTTCTCCAGTCAAAACCAGGCAACATTGTCCAGCAAGTTTTTGCGTCGTTGAGCTAACAAGAACTCACGTTATTTTTGTGCAAAGACAACATGGTCACAAAGTGGTTCCGTTGCAGAATTCTTTTCATCCCATGCACGAGGAGAACGAATATCGTCCCGGAGCAGCTCACACTTGTTGCACACGTCCATCCGTCGCGTCATGAACTCGATGGACTTGCACTTCTTAGTCCACAGATACGAAAATTTAACGGGTAACCCAGGGTTTGCGCTGCACTAGACTGACTGCTCAACATGTTCCGAAAGGACAAACTTGTAGGCCACAGATGTAGGTAAGTTTATGGGAGATTCCCCGCCTCTCCCTCTTGGTGCAGCAGACAGCAGGAGACTGAACACTAAGCTGTAGTTCAGAATAAACTGCTGCGCTCTGTCTCCCACTTCTGCACTAAATTGATTCCAAGGCACATTGCCAGATTTCCATGTGCACCAGGATGACAGCTATTGTTTTCCTTGTCCACTTGCACACAGTCATGTTCTGCCAGCCACATGAAGCTGCATAAACGCGGTTCCACACACGATGTATCCCATCACAGTTCATCCAAACGTGATGCGCGTCCGTTCCGTTGCGGAAGCTGTCGACTCATGCACGACAGTTGACAGGATCGTCATGCGTGCAGCGCAGCCAGCGCACCGATATAAAAAATGCCGAGTTCCTTCGATTTCATCGCCGAAATTTAGTCGTCGTAATGGAGGATTGCGCTCGACGTGAAGCTGCTGAAATGGTAGTTCCGAACGCAGCCACAGCCTTCAAGAATCAGTGAGTCCACAGCGGCAATCCTCTGAAGCGCGTCCTGCTCATCGTTGCTTGCAGAGTCCACAGAATCTCCGCCTAATTCATCCGCTCTCGACTCGCTTTCAACCTCAACGCAGGAGTCTTTCACTCCCGGACGCTTAGCTGGGGCTTCGTCAGAGACACTGTGAGCAGTACAGCTGCTAGTTGCCGACTGCTCCGACTCACGACTCGCCAAATAAATTGTCGTCTTCCTCCTTGATAATAAACCTTGCCGATCTCTTCGGACGCGCCGACGATAATCACGCGAGCGGTACAGCTCAACCGACGTGCTGCTCGGCGTCTGCCACGAGTATGTCTACTCAGAGGCCCTTCCTCAAGTGCTACTTCCAACTCCTCCTGCGCCGCCACGTCCATGACTATTGCTGCAAGTCGATCGCTTGTCGCTTCTCTTGTCGCCTTGAGATCGTTTGGGAATGTAGACAAGATCCGCGATCGAGCCACAAAAAAATATAACTCTTCTTTCCGAGCGATTTTCTCAAAATTCTGAAAGAAATCGGTTTCCCCCGAAGACACGTTTTCGCATGCACTGGCCCATGTATTGAATGTATTGTTGAAACTGAATTGAATATGCTTCATATTACCTGGCGAGTGTACGCATGCCATTATTATGTCTTTCCACCCTATATGGAATATGCCTTATTTAAACAACCGCCATATGCACCTTCCCTACAAGGCCACTTCTACCCTATATGGAATATGCATTATATGACATGATGCATTTTATGGACAAGGCATCCTTATTTAGGTAAACAGTTTCCTCTGAGACAAAAATGCGATAATACTCATAAAAAGGACACACTTCAGGCTCATTACAAACATCTTGAAAGTTTTTGTCTTCACAAGTATACTTTCAAGCCTTCTCATCAGGTGAAATACAGGCAAGAGAAAAGGAACAGGAACAGTGGATTAAATACAGTAAGAAGGTGGTAAAACAGCGCAAAAAGAAAGAAAGAAAGAAAGAAGATAGCTAAAGTAAACAGCGAAAATTGCAATAATGACACAAAGGTGCAAATGCGAGAAAACTCAATAAGCGCGACATGTAGTGCGACAACAAGAGACAACCACTGGACATACATGTAACTAACGAGGTTTTGACGACCTACCTAACAGCCTAAGTGTGAATTTGATTTGTTTCTGTTTGCAAAGGTTGGGTTTCCTTGTGTGGATGTATACAGCTTCCAAAACATTCAGCAATCTAGCACTGCGTACACGTGACACAATCGAAAAACAATCATCCGAATACACAGCACGACAATCAGGATGCTCAAACAAATGACTAGCAATGGACGACTCATACTTATCAGAACTAACATCAGAACAATCAGCATGTGCGGTGGACACATCCGATTTCACATGGCTAGTCGAGTGGACCCTAGCCGTTGCCTCTGTCTGTGCTTTAGTCGCTGCCATCGCCGCCGTTGCCGATCTTGTTATTCTTCTGGTTGATGTGGTTCCTGTCACTGCCACGCACGTAGGTGTCTTGTCCGGTTGTTTTTCTGGTGGTCTAGTTAATTGTGAGGTGACGTTCCTTGGTGTTGATGCCGCTGCGTTGGACCATCTTGTACCAGGATGATTCTTTGCTGGACGTCCCCTCCGTGGTCGAGTGGATCGTGCGTGTTGTGGAATAAGGTGTAGCGGTGCGTGTTGTCGGATGCGTGCGTCCAGATGGAGTCACCTTCTTACTGTATTTAATCCACTGTTCCTGTTCCTTTTCTCTTGCCTGTATTTCACCTGATGAGAAGGCTTGAAAGTATACTTGTGAAGACAAAAACTTTCAAGATGTTTGTAATGAGCCTGAAGTGTGTCCTTTTTATGAGTATTATCGCATCCTTATTTGGAAAGGTTAAAGGCAAAATCAAAGGTCAAAGGTCAAGCCAAAGGTCAACTGTCATATCCCGCAATATATGGACTATTCATCATTATTATGGTAACTCAAAGGTCAAAATGTCAAATCAAAGGTCTATGGTCATCTACCATATATGGACTGTTCTTCCTTATTTGGCACCCAAAGGTCAAAGGTCACTTTTGAGCCAGAAACCCTACCGCAATATACTACTAATGCCATAATTCTTATTTCGACGGACTGTTCATAATCTAAATGAGCTGCTAACGTTATAACTAATAACTCTCCGGGTTTCAATTGTCAGCGGGATCCTTGCCAGTAAGCTCATTGCCATATTTCACCATAGCATCTACCAATTCCACTTTCGTCCACTCCTTCTGATTTTGATATTCTTGTGGAGATGAAAGGAGAAAGTTTCCCAAACCGTGGTATAGATCGTGACGACTGGGGCATCCAGACTGAGGCAAATTCCTCCGCACTGCTTCTTCGTACTCCTTGATAGCTGAGAAATAATCGTCCACGTGAGATGTGCATAGGCGTCCTATTATCAGGAGGGTGAGTACGGAATGATTGCTTGCGAGCTTTGCAACCGTCTTGATCCATCTATGGGTAAGAAGCACTTGCTTTAAAGGAGCGGAGTTGGTATCCAAATCCAAATCAAGCAGCGATATTGAAACTATATAAGGATTATATGTCCACTCAGCAAGATGGTCAGCAAGGGAAAATGAGCCAACTAGTCCCAAAACTGAATATATTCTTGTGTCCCTCTTGGCCAAGATGTGAAGACCTTTTGCAAGCGCCACTAGCCTCCGGGATCGGTTTACATAGGGCAAGCATGCCTCCAGCTCCGACATATTGCTTTCCACATAGCTGATAATTGCTTCTTGAAACCGTTCAACCGAGCCACAAATGTCGTACAGCAAACGAGTTATATCTTCAATGCGGTACTTTCTCCAGGAAGGTGATCTCCCAGGGTTGATAGGTGTACATCTACTCCTGATCATAATGCGGGATAGGTCCGGTAAATCCACATCACCTTCTTCAGGGTACAGGCTAATCTTCTTTATAAGAGGATGAAGTAAACCAGAATGTATACAGCTCGAGTCGAGACCAGGAGAGTCGTATGGCTTCAACGCCAGGCTAAATAATCGTACCACCGATGTAAACTTGTACTCGGACATATCATCATCATAATTATTATTAATTCGGAGAGTACTGTGATCGAGGCTGTCACACACACTGGCTACTTGGTGAGCGATGTGTAGGCTTTTTGCAACTCGAATATATGACACGTCCAAATGGGGACTGAGCTTATAGCGTTGCTGCATGCACAGGACAAACAAAAACAGGGCAGTAAATACTTACATTAGCCCCATCCATCACACACAAGTCAACAAAGAGGAATCTTTGGATTGAGGAGTGCTGGTTTCTAAACAACTGGTTTGAAGCTCAAAGTAGAGCTGCTGTTAGCTCAGAGCAGAGCTGCTGTAAGCTCAAAGTTGAGCTGCGGTTAGCTCAAAGTCGAGCTGCGGTTAGCTCAAAGTAGAGCTGCGGTTAGCTCAAAGTAGATCTGCTGTTAGCTCAAAGTAGAGCTGCTGTTAGCTCAAAGTAGAGCTGCTGTAAGCTCAAGGTAGAGCTACTGTTAGCTCAAAGTAGAGCTGCTGTTAGCTCAACGTAGAGCTGCAATGCTAAATGGATGTAATATAGCGCAATGCAGAGCCGCAGCAAATAGCTAGATAACACCAGTTGTGAGAGTGGACCCGATTAGTGGGTACGATAATTATGATGGTGTGAATAAGTTGGATATGGAGGGATGGTGGGAAAAGAAACACTGCTGAAGCACGATCCGTTGTCTGGAAGAGCACAACAGGGCAAGCAAGATTTGTTTTTCTTTTCCGCAAATGGGCTGGTGCCATTTGTGATTTTGCAGCAAAACAAAGCGCATGACGTCAGTCTTGAATGCAGTACAAAGCAATGCAGTGCAGTGTGTGCGTTAGTTCGGATTGTTGCTAACAAGTACTAGCACAGCTAGTACACCACTAAAATACAGGTTAAAATGTCGTCGACAAGTAGCATGTTTCCTCTAACGAATAAAGCTGATTTATTTGCCACTTCCTCTTCCCCTCAAGTTGTGTGCTTCACTGTCCGAAGAGTGCTCAATGCTCAATACCCATGTAGGGCAGAGCCTAGTACACAAGAGAGAGATTTGGAGCCTTTGGCACAACTATGATCTTGCAGTTGAAGGCCGTATTTGAATAAGTTTGCCGAGGGTCTTTAGAGATCGTTAGCAAATGTACGAAAACGCTATATTTTACTGTGCTTGCTCCAATCCGTGACAAAGGACGTTATCGGGTAATGGAACAATCTTACAGAGCACCAAAAACAGGCCGACGTTTGATATGGTAATTCTGCAAAAAATGCAAAACCTGACGTTGTTTTGTAATTGGCGGGCGATAAACAACACGTGCAGATCGAGACTACAGTCACTTGTGACCTTGAGGTTTTTTGTGAATTTTGTTGTTCAGTTGACAATGTCTGCGTCCTCTGCTTCTTGCCGTACATCCCATCTTGAAAACAAGGATATTTTTTGATGGTAGGAAATAGGACATAATACCAGGTAGCGCGAGGCGTGCCAAAAAACGCAACAACAAAATTACCGAATTCAAGCTTTGTGCACCATGACTAACAACAGATCTTACTCAAGTAATGTATTTCGCATATCTACGGGAACAAATAATGGTATTGGCATGTCATAGTACCACAACCTTCCTTCTGGTCAACAACATAGTTAAAATAATGGGTATCCCGAGGAAAATTGCTGCTTTCTCTTCAGACGATATAAAGGCGCGAACAAACCAGCCAGTAGAGTGATCAAGGGGGGGATGGTGCCACGGCTTCCCCGAAACAAATTTGCATGCATTCAAGTTTTTGAACTGCGCTTCGGCGAGAGGGGTGGGGGCAAAATTAGCCCCACACTTGACGCTTAAAATCAATCTCTAAATGGCCACTATCCAACCAGGTTCTAGTACTATTGAGTAGAGCGAACGTTCGCGCGAATTTTCGTTTGCTGTCACGAAAAGAGAAACTTCGTGTGAACGTTCGCAGCTTTGAACGCGAAAGTTGCAGGAAACGCGAAACAAACTTTCGCAGTAATTTTCGTTCTTTGTGGACCGCTCGTGCACGGTGAACCACCCACAATCCTCATATTTGTGCTTGATCACTACTCTTGGCTTGGTCCGCGAGTGCTAGCTTTCCCATACTTGTGGCAGCCCGTCCTCCTTCGTCTCCGGGACCATCTCCGATCTCCTGTCTGCTCGTATTCTCACTGCTCAGAGTCGGTTACATCAATGATGCCTTTTGGAATTTTAAATGTTGATGCGCAATGCAGATTACGGCACAAGCCAACCCGTTTGTCAGTGGGTCTCCGCCTCTCCGGCCATGTACAACGCACGTTTTACAAAACATAGCGCGAACGAACTGCTACGCCTATTGTGTGATTTCCATGGACTATGTTGCTACTTCTACCTGTGGCGTGTTTCTAAGTTTGATGTTATTTCGCTAATGTTCTTGTCCATGTCATTGCACTGATGGCTTCAGGAAGAAAAACGCTAGATGGACAGCTTCACTCATGGAAGTAGGGATATCAGCGAACGCACTGCGCAGCCCATCTGCGCAGGTCAGCCTGGCCCATCTACGCGCGGCCGACAAGAAAACTCATGAACCCTTTCATTTTTTTGCAAAATAAATCGTGTGAAGAAGATGCACGGAATGGCTGAAAACTACGCTGAGGAATAGTAGCATCCAGAGACTCTCAAACAAATTCACGGTCCATCGCTTCTGACAATGGCAGGGAAGACATCAGGGAGCTGATTGCAGCAACTCTCTACCAAGCGCGATGCTGGTTACTCACCAGGGCAGGGCGCTTCCATCGCGCAAGAAATGGCCGCGGGCGAGAAATGCAAGTCGGATTTTGGAACGATCCAACCAGGGAAATCTCTTGAAAATTGGCCTGAACACCTCTCATACTGGTGTTTCACGATGTGCAAACTTTCAGAGAAATCGACGGGGGAGAACGTGGTGAGTACGTGGGTCCTCCGTATCGCGTATGATTTGAATGGTCGCGGGGACAGAAGAACAGTAATTTTACGACTCCCAGCGGTGCAAACAGACCGCGGCCATGTTTTCTCTGTCGGCCGCGATCACGTTCACAAAATCGATGACGCAATGCATGCGCAGAGGCCTGCGCAGTGCGTTCGCTGACATCCCTAATGGAAGTAGGGAAACATCCAAGCATAGAAAACAATTGTTTTAGGAATTGGGTTGAATTGGCGTGAACATGAACCTAGATCGACATTGTTCACATAAATATTATTTGCACACCTCACATGTACACGCACACACGAAAACGGACAGAAATACATACACCCAAACATGAATTTTCCATTTGTTCTCACCTGACATAGTCGTTTGAACGTGCTTTCATTGAACAGCAACCGTCGCATGGTTTTGTTGACAGCACAAAAATGAAATACGTCTTGAATAGACAACATCGGCAGCAAGGTTTCTAGCCAAACATACACCACAATACGCTCTAGTGCTTGCGATCCTGATCCTTGGTCATCCATCGCCAAGGCAGGCCTGCAGGGCTGGCTTTTTCGATGCTTGTTCTTTCAGACTACCTGCACGCGACCAACACAAACACAATAGAGAATATGAACAAAATGCACACATTCATGTACAAAGAACGTAATACACAAACTCACCAATCACCAACCCACCGTCCGCAGAGTGCTCAACTTGATCAAACCACGAAGCGGAATACAAAGACAGAAGAAGGAGCAGCTGTACATTCGAAACTCTGAGTTTAACGAAGTGAATCGATCATCAGCCAACAAAAAGATTGAAACTGACCCTGCCCTGAGAGTACTGCTATATACCAGGAATGTGGCAAACCCAGCGTAACACTTATCATGTGATATTTAGTGCGATATGGAGTGTGTGAGAAAGCGCTAGTTATCTGTGCATTGCTGTGCGACATTCTCGTCACCGGGGGAGGTTCACGTAACTAATGTGCATAATTCGTGATTTTTCATGCGGCTGGAGGCAGGAAGTGTTAGTTTTCTGTGTGTTGTTTAGGGATATTCTCTTATTATCAGGTATCAGTATCAGGTCCTCATGTTATTTCTATAACTTAGAACCTTCCTAGTTGGAAGGTTGTTGGAGTGCGCATCCAAAATGTGCTAGAGCTGTTAGCCAGTTACAGTCTGAAGTTGTAGATCGTCAGTACCGTCGGTCAGTGTCGTGCAATGTTATCGCATGAGCTGATTGTTAAGAGAGCATGTCTGAGAATACCAAAGTATGTGTGCAAGTGGATCTCCCAGATTTCGCTCAAAATTTGCTTGAAGGTTCCCTTTGGGGTGTGGATCGATTGTGCGAAGCCCTTGAAAAGGTTTCTGAAGGGAACCTTGAAATTTGGATACCCCTCAGCAATCGCAGAAATATCACCATATTTATGGGTCTGGAAACGAGTCACGCCACAGCGTATACGAACAAGCTATGAACAAAACTTCATCAAGCCAACATTGCCTCACCTTAGAAGAGTTCCTGGAGCGGAACCGCTAAGCCACGCCAGGATCACAGAAGACGAGGTCCATCCACCCCTGACGCCACATATGATCGTCTTGAAAATAGCCAATTTACAAGCGCTGGCAAAACAGCCAGCTCCGTCCTCAATTGGCCAGAACTATACACCGGCAGATAGTAGAACACGTCTTCTAGAGCTGAGGACATGTCCCCCATCTTCCTTTTGGGGTCTTCTTGAAATAAACTTTTTTGAATTTTTCCCCTCGACCATGCTGAAATACGGCCAAAGTCATACCTGCGCTGGAAAGCTCGCCCCTCCGCGACGTCTCTCCAGCAATTTCTACTCCAACACTACTCCCAAGGCCGCAGAAAAAAGTGTATTGTTGGCTCTGACAAGGAAAAGCAGCTGTGATCACATGTCACTCCAAACGACAAGCTTCTCCTTGCGCCACCAATAATTTTTTGTGCGCCTGTTGATGCAAAAGTGACTGAAGACATGAGCGCTGTTCTTGAATTTTACTACAAGAGGCACGGTGAAATCACGTGCCATGTGACGCAAGAATGCCAAGTCGCGTGGATCATGGCTCACGAGATTTCAGAGTCACCTTCGTCAAGTGCGCTTGTTACTCGCCTTGAACGCCCGTTGGTCTGGAAGTGATCACACTTGTGTTGTTACTGCGCTCAAGAACACGCTGACCCTGTTGTAGGCCTACGAACCGGGACTTTCCCTGACCATGTAGGTCGAAGACCAGTGAAATGATGATGAAATCACATTCTTTATGACGTAAGAAACCTCTCATGCAGTTCACGCGACAAGTTCGTGCAGCCAGTGCTGCTCGCGTGCCAGTCAACACAAAGCGACCGAGCTAGCGGCTTTCGTCGAGCATCGACATGAAAACAAGGGACTTTTACCGTTGGACTATGTTCGGGATTGCAGCAGGTAAGTGTGAAAGATGAGTAACTCTCCATGCTGTACGGGGGCATATTTAAATGGCTTGCTGCCATTGCAACACTCCTAGGACAGTTTGTGAGGGTTCTCAGCAGACCAAGCAGGAAATACAGCTCATCTTACCTCTGAGCCATGTTCCGAGTAGCGTTCCAGTCAGGTTCGCGATCGATGGCCGCGTGTCGTGATCCATGATCCAAGGAAGAGTCATCCTACGTCACAGAGCACGAGATCTCATCGTGCATCTTGCAATAATATTCAAAAACTGCGCCCAGGACTTCAGTCACTTTTGCATCAACAGTCGCACAAAAAATTATTGATGGCGCAAGGAGAAGCTTGTCGTTTGGAGTGACAAGTGATCACTGCGGCCTTGGGAGTAGTGTTGGAGTAGAAATTGCTGAGGAGACGTCGCGGAGGGGCGAGCTTTCCTGCGCAGGTATGACATTGGCCGTATTTCAGCATGGTCTAGTGGAAAAATTCAAAAAAGTTTATTTCAAGAAAACCCCAAAAAGAAGATGGGGGACATGTCCTCAGCGCTAGAAGAGGTGTTCTACTATCTGCCGGTGTATAGTTCTGGCCAATTGAGGACGAATCCGGCTGTTCAGTCAGCGCTTGTAAATTGGCTATTTTCAAGAGGATCTTTGGGGCGTCAGGGGGTGATGAACCTCGTCTTCTGGGATCCTGGCGTGGCTAAGCGGTACCGCCTTAGGAACTATTCTAAGGTGAGGCAATGTTGGCTTGATGAAGTTTTGTTCATAGCTTGTTCGTATACGCTGTAGCGTGACTCGTTTATAAAAACCCATACATAATGTGATATTTCGGCGATTTCTGAGGGGTATCCAAATTTCAAGGTTCCCTTCAGAAATTTGTTTCAAGGGCTTTGCACAATCGATCTACACCCCAAAGGGAACCTACCTGCAGATTTTGAGCGAAATCGGAGAGATCCACTTGCACACATACGTTGGTATTCTCAGACATGCTCTCTTACGTAGCTGGTGGTGTTAGTGGACAGTATAGCGTAAGTTGTTGTTCCTTGGTCCTTCTCTTTTGTATAATTTAAACATTGGGTCTCCACCTGTGTCAGGTGATAGCAATGTTTATTCTCATAGCGGCATTTTGACACCAGCTCGGATGGCTTGTTGAGGCATTTGGCCGTATCTGCATGGGCGATGAGGAGCCACTCCGTGAAGCAGAGCTCACACCTCTAGCTTGAGCTTAAGCATGCACTTGCTGACCGAGCGGTTGACCATGCGATTGGTTGGGACTTACCTGCCCTCTTCGAATCCCATGCGTGCTTAGATAGCTCCGGCTGTGTTATTCTCGTACCGTCTCTGGAGGAACGGCCTCATGGAAAACACGTTCCAGCAGAGATCCAGCGGCCACATCACCCCATTCCGGTCAAGTGGTGATATCGTGTAGGTGCACAATTCTCTAGGAGGAAGGAAAACGAAATCTGACCAGCTGCTTTGCAAAGAGTCTGCTGGCTGTTCGAAAGCTGCACAGTTCTAATTTATATGAAATTATACTACTGAATGATCCGATATTATTTAACGTCAGTAAAATTTAACGATCTCTCGATTTTTGCCATAGTTATAGTGACAGCTGAGGACCAGTTGCAAGCGTCGGTGGTCTTAGACAAGAGGGCTCCACTGGTTTTCTGCTCGAGGAGTTACGCATGGATCATGTTCATTTAACGTTAATGGGCATGACCAGCCTAAATGGCACGGAAAGGAGGTTGTTAAAGTAATGGACACTTGATGAACGTTTCCCACCAACGTATTTAGGCTACAGAATTCTCTAACTTAGGGTGCGTTCTTATATTCTCTAGCTTCCAGGAGGAGCAGAAAAGAGCAGTCGAAGAAACAAGTATAATTCAAGAACGGGTCTAGAAGACCTCGGAGATATTTGTCATATGTCAAGCAATATGAAGCGCCAGAGGGGCCCCGATCTTGAGTTATGAATGTAGTATACACATGTGCGTTTAACTGTGCTGCTCTACAGCATTGTTTCTCAAGCTTCTGCGCTTTCTGTTTGTCTTTTTCTTTATCATCATCCTGAATGGCACAAGTGAAGTAAGCATCCCCGCTTACATCGTGATAGTGCTTATAATAATCTTTACTTACAAAGAAGAGGCACCTGTGACGTGTGTGTGTGTGTGTGTGTCACGCTCAGGCCATGCTGCGGAACAGCGCTGCCCTGCGCACGCGAAGCGTGCGAACAGTGGAGCACAGTGTAGCTAGCGGCCGCAGAAGCACTGAGCACGCGAAGCATGCTAATCGTGTAGCTAGCGGAAGCAGCCACAGAAGCACTGAGCACGCGAAGCGTGCGAATCGTGTGGCCACCACCACGTGCTGAGCACGCGAAGCGTGCGAACAGTGTAGGTAGCAGACACGATCAGTACGAGTAGCAGTGGCAGCCGCGCGCAGAAGCACTGAGCACGCGAAGCGGCCGAATCATGTAGCCACCTAGCCTAGGCCATAGGTAGCACTAGCAGCCGCACAAGCGCTGCGGACCACTTGAACCGTTCTCTGCCAATACTAGAAACATCTGCAACAAAAGGATACAAAAGATCTGCACTGACTGCACTCTGCATCTGATCTGCAGTGAAGGGCGCATCGCACTTTTGTTCGTAAGTTTTGAATTTTTTGAGCCGCGTCATCCGCCACCAGGTGATGGACAACCCTGACCAGCCTCCCAAAGGCGTAACAGACGTCCCTCCTTCTCCTTCCAACGATGAGGAACCTCCCTCACCAGGACTTCAGCGGTCTGGCCACCACCACGTGCTGAGCACGTGTGCTTTTCATGTACTTGGTTCACCCGCATGCCACATTCGGCCAGGCGATGCTGGCCGGGGGTGCTGCTAGTAATAATATAAAAATAGTACACACATATACTTTTTGCGTATGCGAAAAGGGAAATGCGCACACTCATGCACACTCATGAGCAACAAGTGGCTTTCAGCCGTAGTTCGCATGCGCTGATCCCAAACTGCGGGAATCTCCAAGTGTCAACCACCTCTGATGCTTGGAGAGCTTGGAGAGCTTTGGAGAGCCTCCCAAAAGTCGTAGAGTATAAGAAAGGGAGAGTCGCCGTGGTTGGCAATCACCCACTCTCGTAATATTGGCCGGTGTTTCCGCCGAGTCTTGAGATGTTGCAATAAATAAAATAAATAAAAAAAGAACAGCTCTCGAACTTTTCGGGGAGTCTTCAACTTTTCCGAGAGGATTTAAGAACGCACCATTAGTAGTATGCATTTAAATCGCGAGAGGCGCATAGCGATTCACAAATCAGGGTCTACTTGCAGCAAGCAATTATCTAAATACCAGTAACAAATTTCTTCAGAAGTTG